ATCCAAAAATGGGCAGAAGACCTAAATAAACAATTCTCCAGTGAAAACATACAAATGGCCAATAGGCACATGAGAAAATGTTCAGTATCACCAATTATTAGAGAAATGAAAATCAAAACTACGAGATATTTACTTCACACTGGTAAGAATGGCCATCATTAAAAAGTCCACAAATGATAAATGCTGGAGAGGGTGGAGAATAGGGAACCCTTCTACACTATTGGTGGGAGTGTAGTTTGGCACAGCCATTATGGAAAACAGTATAGAGATTCCTTAAGAAACTAAAAAAGACTTACTGTGTGATCCAGCAATCCCACTCCTGGGCAAATATCCAGAGGAAACTCTAATTTGAAAAGATACATGCACCCCACAGCAGCACTATTTACAATAGCCAAGACATGGAAGTACCTAAATGTCCATCAACAGATAAAGAAGTTGTAGTATATTTATACAATGGAATACTACTCAGCCATAAAAAAGGAATAAAATAATGCCATTGGCAGCAACATGCATGGACCTGGAGATCATCATTCTAAGTAAAGTAACCAGAAAGAGAAAGAAAAATACCATATGATATCACTTATATGTAGAATCTAAAAAAAAAAAAGACACAAATGAACTTATTTACAAAGAACAGACTCACAGACATAGAAAACAAACTTGTAGTTACCAGGGAGAAAGGGGATAGGGAGGGATAAATTAGGAGTTCAAGATTTGCAGATACTAACTATCATATATAAAATAGGTAAGAAACATGGTCCTACTGAATAGCAAATTCAATATCTTGTAATGGCCTATAATGAAAAAGAATAGGAAAAGGAATATATTTATATATATATATATATATAACTGAATCCCTATGCTCTAGAAAATAACCAGAAAATAACACAACACTGTAAAACGACTATACTTCAATTAGAAAAAAAGATCTATAGTTTTCAAGATTTTTAAAGCAATAAACTTTTTAATGTGAAAAGATAAGCTGAATTTCAATATAAATGCTACTTGCTCCTTTTTTCCCCTTTTGTTTACCTCTAATACACATCTTACACATTGGTAAAAGCGTCTTATAATTTAATTATTATTAGGACTTATTTGAACTTCCTGAATATAAGAAATATTGAAATGCTTCAATTTATCATGTTATTTTACCCATTAAATTTGCATTTTAAACTTTATTTGATTATGTGTTCATTTTAGACTGGTGTATATTTTGTTATACTAAAATCTTCTGGAAATATTCGTGTTAGAAAAAAATTGCCCATTATTACCAAAGAGTTCTGATTTTACTACCTATAATTTCTACAGAAAAACAAAAAACAAAAAACAGCGTCAGTCTTCGAAGGTTATAATCATAGACCAGCATTGCCTCCTAGTGGTAAGAAGCTTAACTGCATCATATTTCAAGTTGGAAAAAAAAGATTTGCAAAACTCATCTTTTCCTAGGAGAACATAACATTATAATACAGCTGGGGGACAGAGTAATTATCAGACCTGCTGGCCAGACTAGGTGATGGGTTTCCTGCTGTCTCACTGATCTTCCATCTATGAGCCCCAGAATTCTCTCTCTCATCTTCCTCTCAGATCCAGTGATAAAAGATCTTCGAACTTTAGCCAGTTCAGCCTTGTCCTTATATTAAGCTTGTCCTTAGTCTTAATATGTTAAGATGTTAGTTCCAAACAGCCAACTAGAGTGTGGAATCAGCCTGAGATACGGGTGGTCTCTCAGTAGTGAAAAAGTGAGCTCCTCTTTGGCATCCATGTGTACCCAGGGCAGCACCCTTACCCATAAGTCTCCCCAAAGCCACGTATTTCCTGTCTTTAAAAAAACAAAACAAAACAAAAACTTAAGACTCACAGAGCTTTGGGTCAGAGGTCATCAAATCAGAACCCTTGGATATGTCTCTAGCTCAGATCAGACTCCAAGTCCGCACCCTCCTGGATGCTGTGATTGGAACTGCCTCTCCCTGGGAGCAGCCCAGAGCCAAGTGTGTAACCCTCATTCATTCCTGTCTTACAAATCTGCCTGATATGAGTAGCCAGCAAGCGTTTTTACAGTGTCTTACGGGTTTTTACAACAGGCAAGAAAGCACAAAGAGAAGAATAAAATGCAGATGGAGGAGAATGGATAATAAGAAAAGAGAGGAAGAGGAGCACTTGTCTTAGGCAGAAATCACCTTCCATATTACGGATGATCCACCCACTCCAGGACTAGCCACTTTCTCTTCAGTGATGAAATACTACTGGCTGATATTAAAGAGATAGGTAAAACGTAGAAGGGAAACATAAGACTACAAAAACAATAAATAGAGCAATGAATATTCTATTGGTAGAGTAGAATAAATTCTATCATTGGCATATACTGACTGAGGTCCATATAAATATCTGAAATGTCAAATTAACAAGAAGCCATGTTATTAGTAACAGGGACAAAAGTCGTATCAATTCCAGTGATCTGTGTTAAGAATTTTTTTTTGCTGCAATATATATATTTTAATTCAAAGTGAATAGACAGTAATACACCATCAGTTCTTATTCTGACACTCACCGAAATAGTTACCTGGAAAACCCACTTTTTGTGACAAAGTACGGAAGGCTTGGTCACATTTAAATCACTGAGAACTAGAAAGAAATACTACTGCAAACCATAATAGACATTACATCCATAAAAGTTTCCCAGTCCTCATTGTAATACTGCACAGTGCAACTGCTACATGGCAAACTAGTGTATATACAAGCAGAAACAAAAA